GACGACATGAACTTTTTGTGAAGTCGACTTGGCAAGATAATTTATTTCGCCATGTCGACATTACTTTTTGTGTAGTCGACTTGGCAAGATAATTTATTTCGCCATGTCGACTAATAAAAGTTGATAAGTCGACATGGTAGGTTAAATATCTTTACATGTCGACATGATATGGATATTAAGTCGACTTGACAAGATGAAATATCTCGTCATGTCGTCAAGTAGAATGGCACTTTAACGCTTCCGTATATAGTGGATATGAGCGTTATATGAATGTAACTATTATTATTATATTAGAAAGAGAACACGAGTTAATGGAGACTTAAGCAAAATAACAAGCAACTTTTTTTAAACATTAGACAGTCTAAACGTGTATTTGTGACTCCTTCCAAATTTGTCAAACCCATCCGTAATCGTATGCCTAGTTGAAGTTACGATTCTTTTTTCCCGATTTTGATTATTCTCTTTCTACAGTTGAGGTTTTTTTCCTTAGTTTTTATTTCCCCGAACAATTAGTGCAACTGATTGACATGCAATATTTTAAAGCACGCTAAACCATGTAATTTATGAATCTGTAGCGATCGTAGTATATTTCATGAGTCTTCTATTTGGCGGTAAGTTTGTACCACATTATCCAGGTTGAATTAAGGTGCAGACTAATGCCTATCCCTAATGTCCCATTTTCTTCATAAGATAGAAACTGAAAACTGTTATATCCAGGAAGAAGGCATCTATTCACAAAACAAGTTGCCGGTTAAATTATAAAGGAAAGTCCACGATAATGAGTGTAAGAGTCAGATAAAGAATCAACAATCATTAACAAAAACAATGGTAATTACTTTCAAAGTTGTCTGTTTGTATCGCACAACTCTTGCTGAATATAAGAAACTATTTGTCGTTGCACAGTTTGCTGATGCACCCATAGCTGTTGATGAATAAGTGACAATTTGGTTCAGATAAAGGGAGCGATACATCCAATGCACTTGCATTAACCATGCTCGAGAATGATTAAGATTCACAGCTATGATATATCAGCTGCTCCGGCAGACAGGTGGCTGAGAGTGTGCTCGTGTCATTCAATATCAAGAAAACACCCCCAAATTGTTCTCCCCCCCTCTCACTCTCTCTCTCTCTCTCTCTCTCTCTCTCTCCTTTTTCATTTTTCAATCGCAAGCATCTCCGCAAATTGCTCGCAACCAAACGTGCATGGCCCGGCTACATTTAAACGCCCCATTGGTAGCCGCGTTTCAATTTACTCCCATGTTCCCGATGTGTGTTACCTTGCATCATTCGTGCCGACCTCGTTCTATCAAGCCCCACTTGTTCCTAGATTACGCACCCGCACTACTCTTTCTACCCTTCCGGCAATTAGCTTCTTTTCCTGTCTTTCTTCCTTGCCATTACAGATTTTGCTGAGGCTACTTTCATATCTTCTACTGGCGGAGTCGTGAGCAAGGCAGACGGTCGCAAAGGTTGTTGTGCATCCTCGGTTCTTGAGGAATTTATGACGTACACGAGCCGCTTTATTTTCCCGCCGCTCTGCTTGTTTTCACTGAACTAATTCGCTACTTCTATATCAGTCGTAGACGAAAAGCTCTCGTAAGCGGATTACAACTCGCACTAAGGAAAAAAGATAGACGTTTTGTGATGGGAGCAAGTTCTTCATGTTATGAACGAGTTAATCTTCTGCCATTATTCATCTGTATAATCTTCCGCGTAAAATGTTATAATTGGTCTTACTCGTCTGTTCCCAAAATTATTTCATCGTCATATTGTTCACTATTTTATCAGCTACTGAAAACAAAATTCAAGTAAAGGAGAAAGAGAGGATAAATCAAACTCTTAGCGTCGTATGACTGATTAGAATAATGATTTTGCATTCAACAGGTGTGATGTTTGTGTGAATAGAAACGAATAATTACTCCCTGATGTTTAGAGATAGATCGGACAAGACCCGGCAAACCAAGACATTTCTGAGCTACATCATAACAAACGATTAAAGTGCTAAAAGAAACTAAATGGTTGAGCAAAGGATTAAGCAAACAGTCATCTCTAAAATGGAGAGCAGCCATATGGAGGCTCCATTGTCGTACTACCAGCTGAGGAAGAGGGCAGCCACCTGGCTTCGATGTGGAACATTATCATCCCTCATCCTCACGCTAGCAGGTGTAGCCATGATCATCCTAGGCATCCAAGGTACCCCTGCATCTTATAACATCAAATGGATTGGTATCGCAGCCTCTGCCTCAGGAGGGAGTCTCCTCCTCTTACTACTCCTCATCTCACTCATAATGGCTAGCTTTTGCCCCCAGGAGGGTGGAGGTAGCATACAGGTACAGGGTTTACCCCCGCCATGTACCCCTTCTCATCATCATATGCACTCACACCAGCATGCTGTTCCGTCAGGTTCAGGGGCTCTCACACCCACCTCCAGACATCCTCCTGCCATGGACGGTATGCAGTGGATGGTCTATTATCATCCATCTAAACATCAACAATTAGAGTAAGTGTTACTAGTTTGCGTAGAAGCCAATGTTTTTAATAAACACATTTGCAAAGACTTTCTAAAAAAAAAAGCGGCAACTACAAAACATTCATGTACCATGTGAATGACAATTTCTGAATAAACATTACACAAAAATACAAATGTCATTACTTATTTGAACATGTACACCTGAAAGAAATCATATTCGGATTACATAATACATCATTATAAATAATGTTCGCATATTCCAATGGGTAATAGACATAATTATATAGACATTGCCTGATTCACTACTCGAAAGTCCTTGCGATCGCGTAAATATTCGATATATAATAATGTTATTCAGATAAAGATTTAATGTTTAGTTATCTATTAGATCACTATGATGACAAATGAAACATCGGAAGTATTGTCCATTTCACAAATCAGCAGCCAATACATCAGCCATTATGAAGGCCGAAGCTAACTTTCGATGAATTTTCTAATGAAAGGCGAGAATTCTAAGTTCAAAAATTTAGAAAGAAAATTAGAAGATATGTCACTGTCATGTCATTATTAATGTATAGGCACATTTATTACAGTAAGTTGAGTTGTGTATCATAATATGATGAGAAAATCTTTAAGAGAACAATGCGGATTAGTTTTTAAAAATATGACATACTTTAAGATGACATCCTTGTAGAATGCATTGTAAACAACCCCTCAGTCTTCTTATGTAAATTCGTCTCTATGTTTACTAGAGAGGATTTAAAATTTACATATAGGCCATCTCGCTGCCCAAATAAAGGTGATTCAAAGATTCTCGGGAGAGGGATAAAACTCTCTACCGCTAGGATGATTTTACGCCTATTTCTACATAAATGATAGATGTAATTGCATTGGACAAATTGGCGTCTTGGTTATCACTACTTTACATGTTCATCATGATTTTTCACCGGTTCTGTGCAAGTTTTGTCCCCACCAGGCACCAGAACGTGGAAAAAACGAAAAGCGATTCTGACAGAAATGAATTGTAACATTGTGTCGCCAGAAAGTAATTACCTCAAACAAATGAAACGGATATCGCCCAGAATCCAATTTTACCCCTTTAAGCTGTTGAGTGTAATAATCACGGAGTCTGAAGCCATGGAGTGAACAGGGACACAGAGGCTCTCGTGTGGGACATATAGCTCATCACATATATTAAATCGCAGCTCCCTGTTGCCTGCACCAGGGCTAACGTTGGATCAGGGGAGCGAGATTGTCATAATGGGGTGCACTTACACCCCCCCCCCCCCGCCACTGACAACTAAATTGCATTCCTAACACTGTATGAATGAGTAACCCTCTTAATAAAATTGTGCCACCTTCTGTCTGGAAATATGAACATGAATATAAATGGGTAGTTTTTGTAGTTCTTTATAAGTGAACACATATTTTGTTCGAGATTATTGGTAGCCCATTCGACATGACTTATTGAAACGAGAATTTATCATCATCGCAGTAAGTAATTAATCTAAATTTTAGATCTTAATTCAAAGTAATGGTATGAAAGAAGTTATTAGTTTTTACATTTTTTATTTAATTTCCACACGTTAATCTTATTTTACAAACATGTATTCTACAGTTGAAAAGTGCATCGCACTCAAAACAGTTCAAAGCATTTTCACACCCAATTCAACACATAAGCAAACATTGTTTAAACAAAATGTGCACAACAGTTTGATAAAATAATTTTTCGAACCAAAAACAATATTACGACGCACTGTCGCACAGTGATGCCTTCAAAGAAAATGATTATGTTTGCATGTTAGAGGGTTAGTACAGTAGAAGGAATAGAATAAGTAACATTTCATACAAACATTACGCATTTTTTTCATCAACCTCCAACAATATTACCGAGTCACTTTAGGTAACGATTTGGGCGGTTACTTGTAGTTGCGTATATGCGCCATTTGTATCTGATACATTTTCATTACAAGATATTATATTGAAATGTTTAAAAAGTCAATTAAGTTACAAGCTTAATGCATAATCAATGTGAACTTGATAAACATGCTATAGGATGGCTACAGTGTAAGCATAAATCTTGATGTGCTTGCAGCCCTCCCTTTAAGGTTTTTAACAGCTTTTAAAAAAGAGTTTGTCGACTTAAGATTTCAAATTTCAGTTGGGAGAGAGTTTCAGGTATCTGGGCCAGTGTGTCCAATATATTTAAGGAATAGTTTGGCAACTTTGACAAATGTAATTCATTGTTTTTCAAACGTAAGTCTATAGCATTAAGTGCAGGTTTCGTTTGACTCTGTATGAACTATTTTTTCCCGCCAGTACCATGACTGAAAATAACCTTTACCCAAATCCTGTTGACGCCCAGATTAAACTTGTTTTCAGTTGTTCGAATTTCTCTCACAAACCTGTTTACATAGAGAACCACTTTTTATTCGACTGTACGATGTAAACATGTTTACCATAGCTTGTGTTTGTGATCTTATAAGAGCCCGATTCCCATTTAAGAAAAGTGATTAGATTTGATATCGTTATTATCAACATTAGTACAAAATGACAGAGGAAGGATGAGTAAACCGTTACACTGAATTCAGCCATTAATATTATGAGAAATATTGTCGCTTTTTGATAAAGGCTATATCAATTTCACGGGTGAATCAGTGGTGTTAAGAGTTAAATGGACTTCAATGCAGCAGGATTCAAGCACAGATATTGAGTTATTATTGCTATCGAAACATAACCATTGCTTCAAGCTGTTGACTGCAAACCGGCAACTCGAACAATTCATCTTGCGCCTATCATGCCCATCCCTTCAAGCTAAGACGAGTCTAGTCTGGTGTTAAGATAATCCGCGTGTGCATTCGTTACATGTTGATGTTTTTATGCGAAGCTTGAAGCCCTGCAGATACCCAACCCATAATTACTTTCCTGCCTTTTGTGCAAATTAGGTGGATCTCATGGAAGCTTCCCTTAATACAGGAAAGATTGTCAAATAAGATTTTTAACAAAATGGAGTGAGATAGATTAGGAGAGTGGTACAAAGGGGAAAATTTCGGCTTATGAATGATCAGGTTGAGAAAATAGATATTCAAAGCGACGTGATTATAGAGATCAGTACAAGAAGGAAATAAGGAACAAGAAGAGAATTAGGGTGAGGGAGGGAACACAGAAACAAAAACCAAGATATCTTTTTTGTAATGGAAAAGATGGAAAAGAGACCTGAGGAGATTGGTAGATTCGAGAAGAAGGGAGTTGGACAGGAAAAAAGAGATTTGTGTGTGTGTGTGTAGAGAGAGAGAGAGAGAAAGATTTAAAAAAAAGAGAGTGATAGATAGAGAGAAGATATGTATATATACATGAATATAAATCTATACCTTTAGAACCTAGAAGGAGCCATCAATATTATGTATCAAACGCCTGCATTCCCATGTGGATAAACTTCATGTGCTAAACCACGGTATTAAACTAATGATGATCAAAATTCGTATTCATCTAATATTTCAAAACAAGGAGTTTCATTTCCGAACCGAATTGAAAGATGGGATAGGGACACATCCATACGAATTATTATTTAAGACTACACAACATGGAATTAAGCGCAATGTTTTGTTCTAGAAATAGCATTGGATATAAATTTATATTGTTTCACATGTCACATGATTGTCACAAAAGATATATGGGCTAGATAGTATGATGTTTCGTCTACAAATAATCTTTGATATTATTATGATTGGTGATGAGTTTTTTTGAGAGAGATCTTTAAAACGATGGAAGGTCGACACAATTACATGTGAAGCCTTTACTGTCAGCTATCCACTGTCGAACCAAATTATTGGCCAAAAAATTCACAAGTGAATGATCCACGACTTTAAACAACAACAACAAAAAATCTTTCTTTTAATGTAAGAATCTATAATTAAAAAAAAAAAAACCTATTTTAAAATTGTGCACGCCCTCGCAATCACTTATCTCAGATTTTGCCGCTTCGCTCCTTTTTTGTTTCTTTATAGGGTTGGATGACTATGTCCTTAGCCTTTAATCTCAAGTACTCGTTCATGAAAATTACTGTCCTCATTTTGTGTGAGCCTAGATGCATGCATCCATTGGATGCTAACGAGCATCGCTGGGATAGAGACACAGATGCATCCATTTGGCCGTAATAATTATGGTCATTACAAGCCGTCATTAAGGAGACAATATCATACTCAGCCTTAAGGCTATAGTTCACACACGACGAGGGAAAACCACGACGGTGGTTTTTTTCATGATGACGTAAAGTGAAATACGCTTCACTTTTCTGTATCTTATAACACAGAGCTATAGGTGAATAAGAACACACGCAGGTATTGTTGCGCGCAATTGCTTTTCATTTACACATTTTTTTAAACGCGGCTATTTTTCTCTTGCGGCGGTCAACTGCGGCTGCTTCTTTTGCGGCGGTTAACTGCGCCACGTTTGAATGAGTCTTAAGGGTACATAGGGCAAACGAGACCAGTTATTTGGTTAAAGAATAGGCAAGTTTCGGCACTCGTTCTTTTTTTAAAACCTAGATTGATGTTTAAGTTGAATGATCCCCAACAAAACAGAACTATAGAGCAAAGGAAAAATTGGAAATGGATACATTTTTATATTATGAAGGTGGATTACGGGTTTAATCTGAATTTTACACTTTTAAGAGTAAATTATCGAGGTTTATGTGTAGTTAAATCAGGATAACTGCTTATTTTGTGTTAATTTCGTTCTCATAAATGCGAAAATAGATTTGGGTGAAATAAAACGGAACGCAATAAAACCAGATCATGGACTGAGCGATTCCTTCATTTGAGAGATTAAGTTGTACGGTCTAGAAGATATCTTACATATTGAATATCGTAACAACGTAACATCGCAGACACTTTTGAGAATTGACTAGTGTACAGAGCACTCGATCATGTTTTGGCCTGCTCGACTGCTATCCTTTGATATCTATGACGTAAAGACCAAAGACAAGAGTGCGATATGCCTGTTTAAGCATTCGACTTGCAATTCAAAGG